GTGTCACCTGTGGGGTCACAGTGTCACCCACAGGGTCTCAGTGTCACTCATGGGGTCTCAGTATCACCCACGGGGTCACAGTGTCACCTACAGGGTCACAGTGTCATTCGTGGGGTCACGGTGTCACCTGTGGGGACATGATGTCACCCACAGTGACATGGTGTCACCCACAAGGTCACAGTGTCACCCACAGGGTCACAGTGTCACCCATGGGCTCACAGTGTCACCCACAAGGTCACAGTGTCACCCACAAGGTCACAGTGTCACCTACAGGGTCACGGTGTCACCCATGGAGTCACAGTGTCACTCATGGGGTCACAGGTGTCACTCATGGGGTCACAGTGTCACCCACGGGGTCTCAGTGTCACCCACAGTGAAGTGGTGTCACCCACAGGGTCACAGTGTCACCAATGGGGTCTCAGTGTCACCCACGGTCTCACAGTGCCACCCATGGGGACATTGTGTCACCCACAAGGTCACAGTGTCACCCATGGGGTCACAGTGTCACTCATGGGGTCTCAGTGTCACCCACGGGGTCTCAGTGTCACCTGTGGGGTCTCAGTGTCACCTATGGGGTCATTGTGTCACCCACAGGGTCACAGTGTCACCCACGGGGTCACAGTGTCACCTGTGGGGTCTCAGTGTCACCCACAGGGTTACAGTGTCACCCACGGGGTCACAGTGTCATTCATGGGGTCACAGTGTCACTCATGGGGTCACAGTGTCACCCCCAGGGTCACAGGTGTCACTCATGGGGTCACAGTGTCACCCACAGTGACGTGGTGTCACCCACAGAGTCACAGTGTCACCCACAGGACCACAGTGTCACCGACAGGGTCACCCACGGGGTCACAGTGTCACTCATGGGGTCACAGGGTCACCTGTAGAGTCACAGAGTCACCTGTGGGGTCACGGTGTCACCTACAGGGTCACAGTGTCACTCACAGGGTCTCAGTGTCACCCACAGTGACGTGGTGTCACCCATGGGGTCTCAGTGTCACCTGCGGGGTCACAGTGTCACCCATGGGGTCTCAGTGTCCCCTGTGGGGTCTCAATGTCACCCACAGTGACATGGTGTCACCCATGGGTTCACAGTGTCACCCACGGGGTCTCAGTGTCACTCATGGTGTCACAGTGTCACCCACAGTGACGTGGTGTCACCCCTGGGGTCTCAGTGTCACCCTCGGGGTCTCAGTGTCCCCCATGGGTGCAGGGACACCCCGAGTTGTCCCTGGGCCGTGCTGGTGGCCGCAGTGTCACCCTCGGCCTCGGGGGGACGCGACTCTTGTCCCTGGTGGCACTTTGGGGACAAGGGGACAAACCGTGTCCTTGTCCCCGCCGGTGTCACTGTGGGGACTGTCCTCGGCCTTGTCACCACCAGTGTCACCTCATAGGGCCCTGTCCGTGTCCTCGTTGTCACCGCAGGTGCCACCTGTCCTTGTCCTCGAGGTGTCACCTCATGGGGACATGTCCTTGTCCTTGTTGTCCTCGTTGTCCTTGTCACTGCAGGTGCCACCTCTCCTTGTCCTTGAGGTGTCACTTCCTGGACACTTGTCCTTGTCCTCGTTGTCCTTGTCACTGCAGGTGCCACCTGTCCTTGTCCTCAAGGTGTCACCTCATGGGGACTTGTCCTTGTCCCCATTGTCCTCGTTGTCCTTGTCACCACAGGTACCACCTGTCCTTGTCCTTGAGGTGTCACCTCATGGGGCCCTGTCCTTGTCCTCATTGTCCTTGTCACCTCAGGTGCCACCTGTCCTTGTCCTCGAGGTGTC